AATCTGACATTGTTCAGTTTAAATCAGTGCAGGAAGAAATGCAAGTCACCATTAAATCAGATATGACCCCATGTAGTTTCCTGTTCTTATTGTGCAGGGTTTATTTAAAAGAAAATGTTTGTTTTCATCTTTCATGGAAATGCAATAACTTGCTAAACAGGCTTTTTTATTATTATTTTTTCTTGTATCTCTTAGTTATTAATTCTCCATTCTGGTGGTACAGTAGGCTAACATTACATTTCATCAATCAGTTAATTTATGAAAGACAAAAGTTAGTACTGTCTTAAATTTTTTCTTATTAAGGGCTTTTTTACTGTCTTCAGTTGGAGCATTTGATTCAGAACCTTAGTTCATATTTTTGTCATATATGAACAGCAATCTGCACCAAAACAGCCTGAGACCACCTCTGAATCAACATTGTAATAATAATTCAGCCCTTTTTTGAGCAAAACAAACAAATCAGATTTTTCAGGCAGACTGTCCGCACTATTAATTGCAAGTGATTAATTGCAATACCGTTTGAATATTTCCAGTTTTTTGATGTTATCGTTGTGTCACGTAAAGAGTTAAGACGCATCTGTAAAAACCGGATTGGAATCGCATTTCAAACCACATCCAAATGTGGTTTGTATTAGTGATTTCATGTGTTTTTTGCTGTCCAGGCTTTCAAAACCCCATCTGGATTTTTTGCTGGCAGTCTCAACATAGCCTATAAGTCTAAAACTCCCTTAATATAATAATCTTAGCTCTTTTTTCTACTGCAAATGCATCCTTTTATGCAAGTACAATAAATAGGTCGTGAATTATGTTTGCTTTAAAGGGGTCATATCCTACAATTTGTGTTCATTTTATTTATTTAACACCCTTAATATAATATTTTATAATATAATACCTTAATATCTTTTTAAACTGAAATGTAAAATGGGCTGTAAATTGTGTTCAATTTAAAGGGGCTATATTCTACCAACATTTTCTTTTTCTTTTAAAGTCCACTTTTAATGATAGTCAAGGTTTCGGGGACACAAAAAACAGTGTCTTGATTTAGTTTTATGTGAATATTTTTCACCCTCTCTCTTACCATAGAAGTAAACATGCTGGTTTTGCTGTGAATGTAAGAATTATATATGCAAATGACTTTTTATGGCGATTATTATTGGCTGATCTCTTCGCATGTGAATTGAGTTAGTTAAAAACTAGACTGCCTGTGCCATAAAAATGTTCTGAACCTGTGATTCATTTGCTCCTGTGATTCTAAGTCCTAAACCTGTTTTTTTTTTTTTGCGACTGTCTCTTGGCGGATATTCCCTACCTCCCTGAAAACATTCCCGATTAGACCCGAAGGCCTCGTCTCCCCGTATCGCCACGGGCTCAGTGTGGGCGGTTAGCATGTGAGTTAGCATACCTTAGCACGTGAATTTCACCAGATTACACGACTTCCCATTGTGCCGTTCGCGCTTTGACGTTGTCCGTGGCTTCCGACCGCGAGAGCATTGACAGCTTGATGAATTAGGCCTGACACTTGCCAAAATAGCCATCCTTTGTGCCAGCTGCCAGTTGAGCGTCTACACTCCGTTAATTGAATTGGCAATTTGTGTAACAGTACCTGCCCCTGAGCCTTTGGTGAAGCCAGGGACCGCCATTTAGCTCCAATAATCCAGGACTAGGGAATAAGAGGTCTAAGCTTCACGAGAAATTATTGCAGATTTAAAATGACAGTTTGATGCCTTGCTGCCAATTTCCCATTCAATGAGAAATAAATTAACAATAGCAATAATGTTGACTTATAAAAGTGAAAGTTAAATTGACTTTCTAATAGCACAAGCGATTTGAAATTGCCACTGCGGCGAGTAACAAATTGCATTTATTGCAGTCTTGCACCAAATGCTGTTTGTGGCTTGGCTGGTATTGAAGACTAGCATTACATATTGAAAGTGTCAAATGGAAAGCAAAACTGTCTCGTAATAAAATACCATTTGCATGTTCGCGAAATGCCGTCGAGGACTTTGCAATATTGCGTCTTTGGGTTTGCGATACTCTGAATGGAATAACATCATCCTGTATGTCTTTGACAGTACACCAGTACTCAATAGACAGATCCTGTATATTTTACAGTGACTTTACTGTATTGTGCAGGACTTATTAGGTCAGGCGTGATGTATTTGCTCGCGTTTCCACAGTAATATATTTGTATGTGCTCAATCTAGCGTGGCAGGGAGCTAAACTAGAGGAGATGTATTATGGAGAATCATGGCAGGACAGACATTGTGTTGCCTCTGTGCTCCCGCAAGCTCTTTATTCATATATCATTTGCGTCACGAGCAAAATGAAGCAGATTAATAGAGCATAATTCCTGAGATCAATATGCAATTATATTCATCTCTCTGGCTGCTCGGGCAGCCGTACAGAGGCACGGCGACACAGTCGCATAGTCTTGTCGTAGGACAGTATTGAGTGTACCAGTAAACCAGGGGATGAAAATTGTGTAAGACGTTTGCATTTGCTGTTTTCATTTTTTTTTAATTGTATGCACTTCCTGCTTTTTACTGTCTAGAAACCTTTTAAAATCACCCTTTCATGAATCTGTCTCCTTTAAGACTCACTTGGTTACTTGTTTTTATAAGCTAATCTGTGGTTCAACATGTTCACATTGTTCATTATGAAATATTACCCGTAGAGTTTATAGTTGGCAAAGCTCCTCAAGGTCAAGGAATTTGGAGGACGTGTGGCTGATTTCCATGCGGTGATCTGAAGCGAGGATCCTTGTGTGATGAGAGCTATTGTCTGGAGATGACTCTTTTAAGGAGGAGGATAATTTGAGGCTGGTCAAGTGACCTCTTAACTTTGGTATTTTCTTCGTCGACTGACTTGTACTGCTGGTGGTTGTGATCTCTGCTGGAGCACTTTATATGTAGCCTAGCGTAGCCAGACCTTCAGACTGATGACAAAAGGTCTGATCTCCATCGTAGCTTTCATTGGGCAAGGACCACCCAGAGGCCGTCTGACTGACATGTAAAACAACCAATCACAGATGGTTTTGTTCCGCTCATGTTTAGCTAGGATGTCCCTACAATAACAGACAGGTGTTTAAAACTCTTGGATGAATTTTAAAGAGTCTATACCATGAACTTTACATACTTGACATATTTTTGTAAACCCAGCGTTTAGTTGATCCTGATAAGCTCACATTGTCACAGTTGTAAACATGACGTTGTTCTATGAGGGGGCTTGGCTTCACGACAGCTTTGTTTCCAGACAGACCGTTAAAGAATGTGAGACACGTCTTCGGAAATCCTGTAGAGTTCAACCAATCAGATGACGACTTCAAAAATCCTGAAGTGTTTCCACAGTTAAGTGTGCCATATGCTTTAGACAATCAGCCGTGGGCATGTCCACACGTTTTCACACTGGGTTCAGTTCTGTTCTATTTGTTTTATTTACTGTGCCATTACTATGTTGTGTGGGACTTATTAGGGCAGACATGATGTAACCATGTGTTTTTATTTTATTTTATTATATATATATATATATATATATATATATATTGTATTTTTGTATAATTTACAGTGTATTTGCTGTATTGTGCAAGACTTATCTTTCTTTCTTTAGGGCACATTAGATGCTGTTTCAATTCAGGTCTATTTTCAGAATTTTATTTATTTATTTTATGGCTTGATGTGAAGAATATTCCACATTCTTTTTGTAGTTTTAAAGGGAAAAAACCTAATGATAGTAACTGTTTGTTTATAATTCATTTAAACCAGGTATTACATTGACATTCTTGCTGTAGGTTAATTCTGTTTACTCATCGATTTCCAAATGTATTCACATTTGGTTTTTGAAAAGTGTAAATTTTGGAACTGTTTGTGTTGCCAAATGTTTTTGAACCAAATTCCGACAGCAGACAGACATATCAAAAGCACGTGTGTGTTGTGTGCCAGGCTGCGTTGATTGCGCGTGCTTGAATGCACTGTGTTTGATGTGCAGGTATGTGTGTGTGTGTGTGTGTGTGTGCATGATTTCTGTGCGATCCTCAGGGCGTAAGAGCTCCCTCTGCTGTGCGCTGAGAGCCTCTGTGTCCTTGTCCCACCGGATTGTTGCTCAGGATTGTTTGCCTATCCACCCACAGTGGCGGCTACTGACCCTGACGCTCCAGGGACAGCGCTGAGAGCCCGGCTCTCTCTTTCTATCTCTCTCTCTCTCCTCCGGCTGCCGCTGCCCTTCCCGCTCGTGTTGTGGCAGGAATGTTCCTCCGGGGCGGACACAGGGCTTAGTGCTGAAAGCATTACCGGAGGGGAAAAGTGTGTTTACCCTGCTTGAGGCTCTCTGAAGGACAGAGGCTTCTCATGTGGGTCCCGGCCCCTCTCGTGCACGCTCACCTGGGGCACGATGTCCTTATGTCCCCGTTACGCCCTCCCTGAACGGCAAAGCGTTGTTTGCTACTGGTCCTTGAGAATCCTTAATGGCCGTTCAGCGCTTTATTACATCATTAATTGCACTTAATTCAGCAACATTACCCGAACGCCTGGCTAGGCTTGGAAAATTAAGTACAGAGCACTTTGTTATAAAATTCTCTATAATGAGCTCTGGTGGGACAAGGTCTGTTAAGTTTGAAATCACCCCAGGCCATTTTTTAGCAGAGCCTGAGCCGACTTTAAAGTTGGAAACTTGGAAAAAATGCCCTGAGGGCGCTGTTCTCTGGGTGCTTTGCAGCTCAATGGATGTGGCGATATTAGTCCTGCTATAAACAGCGGGCTTTGTAGCACCAAGCCTGGCTGAATATGCAGAGCAGAGCCGTTCTGAGGCTTTGATTTGCATCTGTGTATTTACAGTACCGGGGGCTTAGTATTATTGGGGCGGAAGTGTTTGTTTAACAGTTTACCGTATCTGTTTAAAATCGCACGGGCAGATTCCAATTCCAAGTTCGTTTGGATTTAAAGCGGAAACGTGCGTGCGCATTGCCGACACGAGTGCGCTCACGCTGTGTGTGCTTCTCTTCACAGCTATCGGGTCCCAGCGGAGGCGGAGCCCCAGCATTGTTGCCTCGGAGATCTTTGAGCCTCACCTTGGCAGCCACATTCTGCAGGTAAGATGAGATTCAAACTATTAAATCTGCCTTTGTTCATTCAAAACACCCTGATGTTCTTATAGTTCGGGACGAGCTTGAGATCAACATTGGGTGTGAAGATCATAATATGCATATTTGATATGCAAATCATGTAATGCACAAAAGTTGAAATGCAATCTTCTTATTTAGAAAAGAAAAAGAATTAGGTCTGTATGAACTGATATCTGTCCTTGAAATTATTTTGACGAAACACTTTATTTTCTGAAGGCTGGTGGTTTTTTGTTTCCGTTTTTCCTGACACAATTTACGTCGTCTTTAAGTCATGTTGTAATGATCATATTTATGAGATAAATAAATACGATAATTACGTTCTGATTTCTGAGTTTCAGTTAAAGACCGTTTCAGTTGAAGAATCAGGGGATAAAGCTAATTGTTATTGGTCAAAATTACTTTTCAGTTGAATGAATGCGTTAATGGTGACTGTTCAAATTATTTTATAAGCAATTTGTGTAACACTTATGAAGAATAACTATAGTAATTGCCAGAACATACCAATTCCAGTAAGAAATCCTTTGCACTTAATTATGTTTTACTAGCACTCAAATAAGTGTTAGAAGTGAAAAAGACAGAATTTTTTTAAAATTGCCCTATTTGTCCATTATATTCTGACCCAAATAGGTTATTTGAACACAAATAAGATTTTAGTAAGTGCAGCGTGACATTTTTCTGAGTGAGAAAATGTAATATTTTACATATTAACGCAGGACATTTAGTAATCTGTTAGTCGTAAGTATTCATTAGTAATTTATTAAGATGAATAGCAAAATCCAGTTGCTTATGAATAAATTAGCAGGCGTTCTACAATGACCTGGGCGAATGAAATCCGTCACAGATGTACTAATGTGTGTGTTTAGAGATTACAGGTCTGTTGTCTCAAGACATATGTGGTGTCTCTTAGCTGTTTAGCATGCAAGTAAATGAAGGATGACACTTCCTCAGTCTGCTGGTGTTTCGGGAAATCTCAAGGGGAGGGGGCGAATTTCTTATTTCACCTCAGAGAGTAGAAAAAATTGTTTTTCATCCATGCTTTGCAACAGCGCTGATGTCCTTTCTAATTCGTTTTAATGACACAGAACGGAAAGCGCAATTTACACCAGTCACCTGTGTCCAAAAAAGCGGATTAGGAATATTTATATAGCGGTTCGCCGGTCCCCGGACTGCCAGCTCTATTCCCTTACGACAGGTTAAGTGTGTGACAGCAAAGCGGAAATTTATAATTAACACCAATACCAGGCTGGAAGTCTGTCGAGGCGTGGCCTTTTCAAGGAAGGACTTGTTCCTGGCAAATTGTCCCCATTAATCTTCAGCTTAATTGATTGTGAAAAGTTTTAGGATGACATTTAAAAAAAAGCATGCTCGGCTGGTGATTGATCTGAAGAAAATGAACTAATAATGGATGCAAGGCAGTCATTAGTTGTTGAGCGCCGAGGCTAATTTTAGACAGCTTAAACCTTCTTTGATAGCGTTTAATAAAGAGGACTTGGGGGAAGAGCTGCTAACTGGCCTTCACCTGCAAACGGACGTTACGCATAAATACTCACGCATATATGCACTTTTACATAGTCATCCTGTTTCTTATTTCATAAGGCTTTGGTTTTTGTTGACTGTTTGTTTGAATGTTGATATTGGTGAAATCTGTGTTCATTCAGATTTGTTGATATTGGTTTCTCATTAAATCAAATATGAAATGTTTTCCAGGTTTGTTGATAACATTTCAGTTTCATATCACTTCACTGTATTCTTTATGAACAGTGTTTTATGCAAAATGTCTTGAGATAAACACATTAAGGAGACTTGTACAAGTGGCAGGTGTGGTAGAAGAGGAATAATTGATTACAGACATTTTGTATATTATTTTCATAGTTCTGTAAGGTTATGTCAAATGCCTTGTCCATATAGAGGAGAGGTGCACTTTAAACTATGTAAACATAAAAGCAACATGAAATCAAAATCAACCCCATTTAGCTTTTAACCTGTTAACCTGCAACCCCATTTTTGAAAAATCCCCAGATATGGCATTCCCAAACTGAAACAGATACAGTTCATGAACCCTTTGTACTAAAAGCACAAGTAAGATCTCATTTGAAAGCTGACACCTGGAAGTTTATTGTAAAGGTAGAATTAATTATTGTCATAATGAAAAAAATAGTTATAAATAGCTTCAAAGTTTTGTAAAGTTATTATACATTTATTTTTATGAAACATATTCATGAAAATAAAATTGAAGTTGGCATTGTAGCAATCTAGAAATGCACTGCAGCTAAAGCCACATGTCTGGCCATGTTATATTTAAAATCTGAAGATGATAAGTCTAAAACTCTGTATTTAGTTCAATGTTTTTCAAGATCATGTCATATGACTTTATTTTGATTAGACTGGGGTTTATTGTCATCTTATAAGCATCTATTCAGTCTATTGCCTCTATTGTTTTGTGATGCAAAAACGAGCCCCATTCAGTCTCAGTCTCCCCTGCACATATTCACACCTCTCCACCCTGATTATTGCTCTAAATATGCTTTTCTTTTGTCTGCATTATAATCACTAACGACTAGCAATTCACAATGTTTCAATCCCTCATTTCTTTTATAAAAGTTCTCACTTCACAGTGAAACTGTATCAAATGCCCTTTTTGAAAAACGAAACATTTCAGTAAGCATTCTTATTTAGAAAAAAAAATCATAAAAATTACACCGAAGTTAGGTAGCAGGTGCTCAGTACTAGCTAGCATGTTAGCTTAGCACACCATCAATACACGACAATTTATGAGAATAAAACTATGTTTGTGCTCTAAACTTACTTTATAGCGCAAGTCGAGTGTTTTAAATAACTTTCTGTAATCTGATTTGGCTTCAGATAAAAAAATCAGATAGAAAATATATTATTTTATTGTATTCTGCACAATTTGAAAGTCTATCTCGATTAGCATTACATTATACATATAATCTATTATTATGAAAATACCTGACATGACTCGAAGAACACAGGTAAATCAAATATCATTGCAATCATGTTTATTGTCTTCAAAACATCTTTATCTGCACTTTACAGCGATCTCTGATAGCTTTGTTTATGTATCAGGACTTCCTGAATGTCACATGATTATGGCTCTTCTTCATGTGATCCATATATGGACTTTACTGTGCAAACAGCGCCCTCAGACTTCAGTATGAATGGATAACACAGTAAATCAGAGTATACAGCGCTCAAAATGATTACATCGACGCATTTGGGTATAAATTCAATAAATATTATTCCTGTCTATAGAAATCTGATGTAAACCTATGATAATCTATCAATATTTCTCCAAATCTGCACATGTTTGAGCTAAAAGCCCTGAGGGACGTTGTTTTGTGAATCGCTGTCATGACGATCGCACGGGAGTTTTTTTCTGAATGAGAGCAGCTGACGCTCATAATTCATATTAAAGGTAACGACTCATTTTTTAATTTCATAACTCCTGACACAAATTAAGACATAACTGTCACTATAAGTTTCTCAGAATACAATAGTGGTCAAATACTGAAACTTGAGTCTTATATCGTTTTAATGATGTATAGTTTGTCAAGTTAATAACATTAAATATGATAGTAACTTTGAACTATTTAAAAAAAAAACGCTTCAGAGCGCCCACGCACTGGTGAAGGTTAACAGAATAGCTATAATTATTGTTCCTGGTTTTATTGTGAAGGATTCATCAATTTGCTTTTAAGGGTGTGTTCACAGTTGTAGTTTGGTTCTCTTAGTTCTTTTGGGTTTGGACCAAAAAAGAAAATTATAAATTTAGTCTTCGTTCGATTAGTGTTCACACTAATCAATTTTTAAGAGCGATCCTAAAGATACTATCTGTGTTATGGCTAAATGTGCTTATAAATACATATGATGGTATTTTTTTACCAGCTAAGAACTTGAAAGAAGAAGCTGGTATTCTTGAGCATTATGTCCTTTTTTGGGTCGCATTTTGTTACATCACATCCTGTTTTTAGTTTGTTTAGATGTCTTTGGTCTGTGATGCGTTCGTATTTCAGTCGAAATGCACCAGAGTTCATTTGGAAGTGGACCGTGACTTTTCAGGGATCTCGGTGCGCTTGTTTGGTGCGCACCAGGGTTTGAATGGCATGTTTACACTTATTCAAATGAACCAGGGTTCGGTTTAATGAAACCAAACATGCCAAGTGTGAACACACCCTAAATGAACTTTTATTCTCTAAAGGTAGCTATGTATAAAGCAGCTTTCTGTTTGTCAACTCTGCGAATTTATGTGACCAACTTGAACACAAGCAAAATCTCCATGGGGAAGTTTTTCAGCCTCACGCAAAACTCACAATTGTGCAGATTTCTTTTAAAAATGTCTGTATTTTGCCCCTGAAATTTCACAGAGTAACAGTGCTGCTACCAAGGCCTCAGAGTAGGGGAAAATAAGATATTAACCAATGATATCATATATTGATTTTCACAATCCAGTCAAAATCTGACATAATCAGCTATATTTATTAATATTTTACAATTCCTTATAGAAATCAATATTTCAGCAGCAGTCATTTGCCGACCATTATAATTAAACAGATATAAACAAATAAAGTCCCGCCTTACGTAGTTTGTTACTGAATATTGTTTCATTGCATCACATGGTGGAAGTTAAATGTTGCAAATGTTGTATGTTTTATTGCTATTTAGCTGGATGAAGGAAAACATTTAATGGTTCTTAAAAATGTATGACACTTTTACAAGTATGTATAGTTAAAATTGGAATGTTTTGCTTTTTGCTCTGTGTGGTTTGCGTGTTTTTTGTGCTGTTATGTGACCCAGTGACCAGATTTCAGCACAGAAAACACTGTGCTTTTTTGTTTATGCACAAACAAGCTGAACACATTGAGCACCCAGTTTTGTCAAGCCAGATAATCAATTAGCTGCTTTAATATGCAGGTCTGTTTGAAGGCAGCTGTTGTGAATAGGCACTG